CTGGGCGTGAATGGGTGTCCCTTATTTTGCCTCGCTGAAGGTGGCACTTTCTAAAGGGGAAGTGCTTAGGGATGTTTGCGAGTGCGTGTCTAAAACTGGAGTGGAATGTGGCCAAATTGGCAACAACAAATGTGATGTTTTATTAACAAATTTCGGGAGTAGCATGCGCAGATAATCAACCCGGCCAATTCACTACCAGTAATCACATCATCTATCCAACCACCACGAAAGAGAACCACTATAAATAATAATAGCAGCCTTACCTTCGTTCTCTCTAGTCTTTCAGCATCCCTCCACCACCCCGACTCCTCACCGTCGACCCATTCCTACGGGAGGAGCGCTCTGCGTTCGGGCAGATGCCGAGCTCGGAGCCCTCTCCCCGGACAGGAGGGGAGTGCCCCAGGTTCGGGAAGAATTACCGAGCTCGGAGCCCTCTCCTCGGACAGCACGCCAAATACGCATACTATTCTTCTTGCTTTATTATCTGCAAGGCGAACTCGTTAAGTCATGGACGGCCACAAGATCATTTTGTTAAGGTAACAACATCCTTATGCCATGGCCATGCGACCCTATGTTGAGTGAACATCATTTTCTCATTGCCAAGAGTTTAATGCGTAAACAAACTTTATGATTATCCCAGGTTGCTATGGTTATGCATAAACTCGTGGCCATGACATAAGGATGATCTTATCAAAATGATCTTGGTCCACCCACAACAAATTTATCATGTTTCTGTGAGATGTGTGCGTCTTGACGCTAGAATGTTTCAAAATGACAAATGCATGCAGCATTTAGGAAGTGATCAACAAATGAAGTTCTGTATCATTTGGTAACCTTTTTTATTGAGAAAAATTACTATATGCACCTTTAGGAGAAGTATGATTTGAACACCATGAAATGACAAAACTGCTCTGTCTCTTACACAGGTGAATGTCTTTGGGTTTGGGGCTTCAAGTACTGGAACCTGGCATCATTACTTTGACAGAACTCGCACTCACTTTAAAGGCGGCCCTCATGGTGGAGACTTTGAAAACAAAACAATGCATCAACTTCAGCAGAGAAACAAGATTTCAGTATATAAAGGGTATAGATAAAAAAGACCAGGAATGGATATGTTCGGTTTAATGTGTTAACAACCTAACAACCCATTAACTTGTGGAAAGTGATAATATGTTTTGGGCAGCAATGAAGTCATTTTGTCAACACCTTTATTTTGTGGCCATGTTACGTTCCGTGGTTATTTATGTAATGTTGGATTATGTGTGCTGTGGTGTGTTTTCTCGCTCTCTCTCTCTTTCTGTGTTGTCCAGTGTGTTACCTGCTGCACAACCAGGTGTGGAGGAGAGGGAGGTGATCGCTGGCACCTGCAGCTCATTACTGTGCAGAGGCTGCAAACTCAAATGTTGTTCAACATGTCTGCAATATTGAAGCTCGTGTTCCAGAGTGTTGTTCCTCTTGCCTGCCCTGTGTTGGTTGTGTCATAGATATTGGTCTTGTGTAAACTTAAGTTACGGCTTATTGTAGCCTTCTGAACAGGCCATTAGCGATGTTGTTGAGCTACGTGACCCTGTGTGTTGGAAGCTGTAGGGAGGTGGGTGCCATTTTATTTCTGTGAATCCTTTTTCTCCCGTTTTTGCTTAGCTAGGGAGTTAGTGTACATTTCTGTTGTTAATTTTCTTTTATTTTGTCAGTTTAGACCGTTTTACTCCCTAACTATTTAGAGGGTCCTTTTGTTTGTTGTTTTGGCCTTCCCCCTCCTGAAGGCTATTTTTACTTCCTATTTTTACTTCTATTTTACATGACCATATGTTGATAAAACTACATCACTTTCTTGTGGCCAAGAGTTTAATCCGTTAACAAACCTTATGATTATCCCAGTTTTGCAAGAGTCTCGCAGGTTTGTTTACGCATTAAACCGAGAAACAAGATTTCTAAATATAAAGGGATAAATAAGACAGTTCTTCCATTTATTAATGAAATGTCTCAAAATGGAGTATACCAAAACCGCTACAAAATGAATGTAAAAATGAAAGGCAAATAAATATTTTAATATGAATGTTAGCTAACTATGGTAACAATGTTTTGAGAGCTGTTGCAATGCTGTATAATGTGCTACTCTTATTTATAATGCTTTACTGTATCTACACTGTAAACATATTGTATGTACCTGCTGTTCTTGTACTAAAGTAGCTTACTAATCTGTAAGACATCTGGAATGTTTTTATGGATCTTCAAATGCTAGTTTGGTTAAAACGAAAAGTTTAAAGGATGAGCCCTTTAAAATGCTGTGCCACAAATTCCTGTACCAGTAAGAAATGTCAACACAAAACAAAAACTTCTTTTCATATTGTTTAATTGAGAATATTCACATATAAACCAACAGCTCCCAAGGCCAAGGTATACTTCGGCGTCCGCACGTACAACAGCGCATGCACAAGAAAAAGGCTTCAGAGACACATGCTTTTTCCAAATACCCACACGTGTGGTCTTTGCACTTGACAACTTAGGCTATATGACGTGTTTCCTGTATTTGGCCCAAGTGTTCAAGTGAGGATGAAGACCACAAGTGTCTGTCATTAGGCCTGATTATAGTGTTATAAAATTGCAAGTTTACATAGCTTTATTTTTATTTTAAATATGCCTACTTTGCTTTTTAAAAATTTACTTCTAAATGTTTGTTCATTATTCCCTATAACATGACACAATTAAATTTTTGGTGCTTCTAATTAAGTGATAAAAAGCACAACACACATTTATGTCCAAACGCCATGTAAAAGTGGATTTTGCATAATAGGTGCCCATTAATTTAACACCATTATATCAGGTTTCCCATTCAAACATGACTGCGTCATGTTGAACAGACTTGAAACAAATGTTTTGCCTTAACTCGATGTTTTCATGTCGAAAGAACATTTCAATCAAATAACTCTAATAACTGTTTGAAACCAGTGTAGAAAACGGATTCACACAAGGTCACATCACGCACATGCAGTGTTTCTGTGAACGGAGACAACAGAAAAACTATATAGGCTACATAAAAAGGAATATGTCTATACACAAAATATATTTAACTTAAATCATTAACAGATTAACAAAACGAAAGAAAAAAATTGTGCTGAGTTTCTGATCATTTTAACGCGCTCCGAAGTTCACGAAAAAAGAGACGGCAGAAAGCAGTTTTCTACGGTGGCCGAGAGAGCTCAAGGCGCTGCAAATAGAAAAAAAACACCTGCAAATTAAGAAAACAACTTCATCAATTTGACAACACGCACTACAAATGCTCACAACCCAACCCAATTAAGAAACGCACTGCAAATGCTCACAACACCACCAAACAAAGAAAAACGCCGCAAATACAATTCTTTATTTGGTTGTGTTGTGAGCATTTGCATTGCGTTTCTTTATTTGTTTGCGTTGTGAGAATTTGCAGCACCTGCTGTCAAACTGATGATGTTTTCTTGATTTGCTGGTGCTTTTTCTATTTGCATGTGTTTTCTGAAGTTGCAGCGCATTGAGCTCTCTCGGCCACCGTAGTTTTCTTTGTTTTACGAAAGCTGTAGTTTTGAATGATGTTTTGCTTCTATCTGTATGATTATATGATTATAATATATGATATGATTATTATAGTAAAGTATAACTTTAAATGTAGGCTATTTAGTGTACTTCTATATACTAAATTGGAACAACTTAAAGTATAGGCTACTTAGTACACTTTATGCCAAATTACATGCTTGATTAGTGATATTAAAGTGTACTTTGTTGTATCACGAGTACATTACAAATTAATTATGAGTGTCTTTGAAACACACAAGCAATATACTATAAATTCATTATTTTTGAGTGATCCTGGAACATCATTCCAATCAACCAATCAGAATTGAGAGATAACTTCTCAGGAAATGTCAGTTTTAGGCTTACAATCAGGGTTAGGCGCTTCTACACCCTCGTTAATCAGCTATCATTTCCCTCTGATTTTCAGTGGCGGCTCGTGGGTTTTAAAATAGAGGTGGCACACTAATTGTATTGGTCTGGGGATACCTGCCGATTATTATTATTATTATTTGCTTAACCACTTTAAAGTTGCTTTTAGTCAGAAAACGACACGCATACAGCAAGATAATATCATTTCACTTACCTGGCCTATCACTTGAAGCAAACATCCATCCCTTCTTAAAAGTCTGTGTTAAAAGAGCAGACTGCTGTAACGTTAGCCTGTATCGTTTAGGTGATACAGCTTAGGCGTGTTCTCCCTTTATTTTTAATTTGTATATATACTGTTTGAATGACAGCTTGGTAAATCTGTTGGCGATCAAATATTCAATATGGTTATATATAATAAGTACTTGGTACATTATCAGCGCAGCGGGAGACGTTCAAACTAATATCACGTAATTTACGTCTCTATGATGATTGGTTGATAT